TAATTTGGATGTAAATTTTAAAAAATAAAAAAATAAAACAAGTTAAAAAACAGAAACAAAAACCTGACATTCTCTCATGGGTACAGACACTCCTCCCTTCTCATTTCAGCAAATTAAGCTTTTAGAGATGGATTAAGCCAAAACAGTTTTATAGAATTGTTTTGCAAATAGCTTCAAAAGTACTGGTTTAAAATTCTCTTGAGCTCTGTCCATATAAAACTATCAATGCCACTTCATGACTTTCCTGCAAGTGGCATCTGTCCAAAGAAACAGTTTCTTTCCTGTACCTGTGCTTTTAAGCAAATGTTACAGTCTTGATGTCCTCCTAGACACCTTAAAAGAATAATAAAGTCCTGTTATAATTCAGCATTTTCTTAATAAAATGAAAAACCTTTTTTTAAAAAAATGTATAGCTTCTAACATAAAAAAGGGAGAAAGACTAGTTTGATGAAACCCCGTGTACACATCACCGAATTTCGACGATTATTAACATTTTGTCAACTTTGGCCTATTACATTTTAATAGGTTTGACTTTTTAAAACAGGTTTCAGAAAACTGAAATGTGTCTTTTAATTTACTTTCAATAATCACTGGTTTTACTTAAAAAACAAAAAACTCTTGTTACCTTGTCTTCATTATATCTGCTTAAAATGTGCATTTCTATATTTTAATCTTAGTATTTCCCTAACTAAAAAAAATTCTACAACTGTATAAACAAGTCTTTATACTAAAGACTATATAATTCAACAGAATTACCACCATCTTCTTATCATGTTAAGAGTCAACAGGGCAAAGACGCTTAACTTTAACAAACTCTATGTATTACTGTCTATCGAATTATATACGCACTAGCTGTTTCCAACGCCATCACCATCTGGAGACCGGGTATAAGTAATCTTGAACTCTATATCAGGTACAAGTTGCATAGCCCTACGATAAAACTTGATGGCTAAAAGAAGAAATAAAGCTAAATTAGCTATGACCGCACATTTTTGTCATTTCCTTTACCTGTAACTGTGGTTTAATTTGGTAACTTTCTTTACAAAGAGCCAAATTCCTTTTTTTCTGTATGCAATAGTTCAGTGAACAAACTTATTTCCAAACCTCACTACTCAGAAGCAACCTTTCCTTTTTCTAAAGCTAACACATCATACAGGCTTAAGGATGCTTTATTTCACTCTTTGCTTTTAGCCCTTCCCACCTTTTCCCTCAGCCTCTTAAGCATTGTTAGAAGTGATCTTAAGTGGTTGTCTTTCTTGGGCTTTGAAAAAGCAATTGTTGTAGCCCCAAGAAAAACACTTTTAAGCAACCTTTTCTTTCTAGGTTGCAGAGTTGAGGATAATCAAATGCTTCCTACTAGGTAGAATAAAGAGGTTTTTTTGAATTTAACCTTCAAATCCAGCTTCCTTTAATCAAGCTATTATTTAGCTAAATAACCTTTAAAAGCTACTTTTTTATGAAGTTCCTGGCCAGGTGGTTTAGAGCCGTAATACTTAGTAATCTCTCCCACAAAGCTATACCAACAGAACTTGAGACTTCAAAAGCCTAACAGCTCTTTTTCCCTTAGATGGAGTCTATTCAATTCAATATATTCTGCTGTGTTCTATCACTCTGGGTGAATTACTATACACTAAATGGAAATGGGACTCTCACAAACTAATGAAGACTGTAGAGGGCTTTCACCATTTGGGCTCTTTTAATATCTCAGGGTAAAAATATCGCTAGAAGAAATGTGCAAATAAACTGCAGTAATCCTGAAAATGTTATTTTTAGGGCATTTTCAAATGATTAAAGCAAAGCATCTTTCCCACACTCCAATTATCAGCTTTACTTTCACAAAATGGAAGCCTACTTACATGCCTAATACAGTAAAATGCCCCATCACTTTATTTATGCATTTCTAATGGATTAATAAGAGACAATTAAAGCTGACAATTATTCCTTTGTGTAAATGTAAATTAGAAGATAGGTTCTTGAAACTATGCTTTATATTCTCCTCCTCTGAAGTCATTTTCATCCATAAAAGAATACCATTTTTAAATGAGAAACAATTATTTTTAAGACTTTAATAATGAAGAATTAATAAATAGTAAAACCTAAATGTAGGCCAATATGATGATGTGTCACAGCAATATTCTGGAAAAAGGTTACACAGAAATATAATTTTTAGTTTTGATTTGTTAAAAAACAATTTCAAATATAAGGTGACTGATGTTTATATACAAATATAGTCTAGTTAAAAAAAGAATTGGTCAATAAGAGCTGTTATTCAGAAATGTCATGACCATATGATCCTGGGCCCTGAGTTTTACCTTCATAGAGAGCTCCATTCTGTTCTTCTTCTACCGCTTTTAGGAAGAGTTCTCGAGCCTATAAAAATAGTGAAATGCAATTTTTGAAAGTCTGTATTAAAAATGAGTATGCATGTGGGAATGCAAGCTGATGCAACCACTCTGGAAAACAGTATGGAGGTTCCTCCAAAAACTAAAAATAGAACTACCCAGAACCCAGCAATGGCACTACTAGGTACTTATCCAAGGGATACAGGTGTGCTGCTTCGAAGGGACAGATGCACGCCCATGTTTATAGCAGCACTATCAACAACAGCCAAAGAATGGAA